CCTAACCCAGACATCACTGGGTACCCAAAGCTAGTTCTTCCATAAAGATACAGGTTGCGTCTTTTTCACCTAATGGCATGTCACTAAAGGTTGCCTGGTGCTTGTCCTACATTCTTTTTAGCACTTTCAAAATTTCAAGCTTTTTTTTCAATTGTTTCATTTAAAATATTCCTGGCCCTGTAAATATACCTAAAAGCACATGTAATAATTCAATCACCTTACACCAGGAACTTGGTTCATGAAATAAAAATAGCAAGAGGGTAGGACTTTATTTATATGTCTTACAATTAAGTCTAGTCACTTGATAAATCCTAGCAATAGTTATCTTATTTATAAATTAAAATAATTATTTCCCCTCCCTTGGCAGTGACCTCCAAGGCACCTCACAACAACAAAATTTCAAAACTATCAGTAAGCAAATAAATAATCACACCAGAGCAACCCATGGCAGATAAATGGCCAATACTAGCAACAACAAATTAAATCAAGCGGCTTCTGTTCAAAGGCCAGTGTTGGCCACTTGCCAAAAGGGGGGGAAGTGAAGCAGATACCTGGGCCTCTTCAGGTAGGAGGATGTTCTGACAATTTGGCTATTTCACAGACAAAGAGGTCACTCTTGGATGCCCACCTGCCATTTGGGAGGAGGGAGGAAAAGGAGGGGGGGGACACAATTAATCAACAGCACCTCCTCTGTTGATCAAAGCTCTTGAGCAGGTCTTCATGGGAAAGGTGCCACTCTTCATATATCTCAGCCTCCGATATGTTTTACTACCTTATTTAAAACTGCCTCTTTGAATGGACCCAGATTCTGAATTAAATAGCCAAGGATTGGATTACTGCAACGCACTCTACGTGGGGTTGCCTTTGAAGACTGCTCGGAAACTCCAACTAGTCCAGCGGGAGGCAGCCAGATTGCTCACCGGAGCAGCATACAGGGAGCATACCACCCCCCTGTTGTGTCAGCTCCACTGGCTGCCGATCCAATTCCGAGCACAATTCAAAGTGCTGGTTTTGACCTACAAAACCCTATACGGTTCCGGCCCAGCGTATCTGTCCGAACGATCTCCCTCTACGTCCCACCTCGGAGTTTAAGATCTTCTGGGGAGGCCCTGCTCTCGACCCCGCCTCTATCACAAGTGAGGCTGGTGGGGACGAGGAGCAGGGCCTTCTCGGTGGTGGCCCCTCACCTGTGGAACTCACTCCCTGGGGAGATTAGATCAGCGACTTCCCTTTTTTCATTCAGAAAAAAATTGAAGACCTGGATGTGGGACCAGGCTTTTGGACATTCTGGCAGCTAAAGGAAAGACCTTGATGATGGGCAGGAATTGACGGAACGGAATGGATTTATGGAACTCTGAACACTGAGCATGAGATTGTTTACTATTGTGTTATGTACTGATGTTTTTAACCTGTTAACTGTTTAATTGCTTTTATGTATGTATGTATATTTGACATAGGCATCGAATTGTGCCTTCTTTTGTAAGCCGCCCTGAGTCCCCCCTCGGGGGTGAGAAGGGCGGGGTAGAAGTAACTGAAATAAATAAATAAATAAATAAGTAAATAAATAAGGAAGCTAAAGTAAAACTAACACTGGAGTCACCGTGCCTTGGTTTTGAAAATAGGTTCCTGCATTTTGTCAGCTACAGCTCTCCATATGCGGATGTGAGAAGCCTCCTACAAAGATGGTAAAACATCAAACATCCAGGCATCCCCTGGGCAACGTCCTTGCAGACAGACAATTCTCTTACACCAGAAGTGACTTGCAGTTTCTCAAGTAGCTCCTGACATGAAAAAAACACCCTGCAGTATATGGATCTACACGAGGCATGGACAAACTTCGTCCTTCCAGGTGTTTTGGACTTCAGTTCCCAGAAATCCCAACCATCTTATAGGCTGCTAGGAATTGTGAGTTGAAGTCCAAAACACCCCGAGGGCTGAAGTTTGCCCATGCCTGAGCTACACTAACCACATAATGCATTTCAAACTGCATTATTTGGCAGCCTACTGCTACCTGCCACTAAAACTGGTTCTTAAGTTGTGTAACAGATAAAGTATTGGAGAAAAAGTAATTTTAAAATGCAAGTCACAATATTTTTAAAAATAATAATTATAATAATAATACTTTATTTGTAGCCTGTCCTATCTCCTCAGGGGGACTCAGGGCGGCTTAGGCCCCTTCTACACTGTCATATAAAACCCAGATTATCTGCTTTGAACTGGATTATATGGCAGTGTGAACTCATACTCCAGTTCAAAGAAGGTAATGTGGATTGTTTGCTTTGATAATCTGGATTATTTGGCAATGTAGAAGGGGCCACAGTTGCTGAATGGATTGAAAACCAGTACAGAAATCAAGGGAATTTAAGAGCTAAGAAGCCTAAGAAATAAAAACCTAATGAACTCAGGCTGAGAAATTAATGAAGATAGCAATCTCTGCTGCTCTAAAGATTACACACTAGGAAGAATATCCTGGTAGTAAGACCTGTTAAAACAGTGGAATAGATTGTATCAAAAGATGGTGTGCTCTCCTTCTCTGGAGATCTTTAAAGAGAGGTTGGGTGGCCATCTCATGGTAGTGCTACATCGCTCCAGTTCTTTCCATGATTTTATTAATTTGGCTTTTATCCTATACTTTGTTGGCAAGAAGTGGCTATATTTCATTTTAACAGATGAAAAATAAGTTTAAATGCAAAGCAAATCCCCCTGGAAACTAACCACTGACATAATTAAGATGGTGTAGTGCTGTTTTAGTAGTCTGAAAAGGATTAGAAGCACAAGAATCTGCTGAAAATGAAGTGACTGAATATCCACCAAAAATGATATGAAAAATAATTGGAGACAGGCATGATGTATGCTTGAGCAATGAAAGCAGATGTTTCGATCATGATGTTTGCTTCAAGGGATCGTCTCACCCCCTACCAACCCCAGAGATCCCTCCGTTCTGAAAGTCCCCAGTGTCAAGACCTTGCGTCTAACGGCAACCAGACGCAGAGCCTTCACAGCAGTGGCACCATCAGTCTGGAATGCTCTGCCACCTGAAGTTCGTGCCCTGCGGGACTTACCAGCTTTCCGCAGGGCATGTAAGACATACCTGTTTCGACAGGCTTTTAATGTTTGATACTGTTGTTTTTAAATTGTTTTAAATTGCTTTTAAATTTTGTTAGATTTTAGCTATTCTTGTAAGCCGCTCCGAGCCCCAGGGGAGTGGCGGCATATAAGTTTAAATAATAAATAAAATAAATAAATATGCTGATCTCTGGCTAGAATTACAATGGGAAAACAACAGCAGACATGGAGAATCCTAGACACTAAGCAGTGGTTCTCAACCTGGGGTCCCCAGATGTTTTTGGCCTACAACTCCCAGAAATCTCAGCCAGTTTATCAGCTGTTAGGATTTCTGGGAGTTGAAGGCCAAAAACATCTGGGGACCCCAGGTTGAGAACCACTGGCATAGAGCAGTTCCAAGATGTCACACATTGGCTGCAGCAGTACGAATGTGGTGGCCTTTTTGAAAATCTGGATATTTGTCTTTTATGGGTTAGGAGTTGACAACTCAGGGCCCTTACAGACAACCGTATATCCAAGAATATCAAGTCAGACAATCCACAATATCTGCTTTGAACTTTATTATCTGAGTCCACACTGCAGATTTTATACAGTTGTGTGGAAGGGGCATTAGAGGACTTAATTCTGTTTCCAGTCTCTGAGGCACCATTCTGTCTAAACCAGTGGCTCCTAGCCTTTTTTTGGCCATGCCCCACCTAAGCATCTCTAAAAACCTGTGCCCTCCTCCCCCTATGACTGGATGAGGGTGAACAAATTCAAATTGAATCCAGACAAGACAGAGGTACTCCTGGTCAGTCGCAAGGCCGAACAAGGCATAGGGTTACAGCCTGTGTTGGATGGGGTTACATTCCCCCTGAAGACGCAGGTTCGCAGCTTGGGTGTGATCCTGGACTCATCGCTGAGCCTGGAACCCCAGGTTTCGGTGGTGACCAGGGGAGCATTTGCACAGCTAAAGCTTGTGCGCCAGCTGCGCACGTACCTTGGGAAGTCTGACTTGGCCACGGTAGTCCACGCTCTGGTTACATCCCGTTTAGACTACTGCAACGCTCTCTACGTGGGGTTGCCTTTGAAGACGGCTCGGAAGCTCCAACTAGTCCAACGCTCGGCAGCCATGATTTTAACAGGAGCGGAGCGCAGGGAGCATACAACCCCCTGTTGCGCCAACTCCACTGGCTACCGATCTGCTACCGGGCTGAATTCAAAGTGCTGGCGTTGGCCTTTAAAGCCCTAAACGGTTCCGGCCCAAGCTACCTATCTGACCGCATCTCTGCCTATGAACCCACCAGGACTTTGAGATCTTCCGGGGAGACCCTGCTCTCGATCCCACCTGCTTCTCAAGCTCGGCTGGCGGGGACGAGAGATAGGGCCTTCTCGGTGGTGGAACGCCCTTCCTACGGACATTAGGCTAGCACCATCTCTAATGGTATTCCGCAAAAAAGTGAAGACCTGGCTGTTTGAGCAGGCGTTCGAATAATTAGTGCAATGATTGGTTAATGAACACTGGAATGGAACAATGGATGACGAATCTGGAACATGTTTTTGATGACGAGATGACAGTGAATGGGTATTGTAGTAACTGTTTATTAATTGTGTAATGTGTTAGGTTGTTAACTGTTTCTATACTGTAGCACTGAATTTTTGCTGTTCGTATTTGTTGTGAACCGCTGCGAGTCGCCTTCGGGCTGAGAACAGCGGTATATAAGTAAGGTAAATAAATAAATAAATAAATAAGTGTTATTATTCAAAAAGTGAACTCAGATTCACATGGAGTAAGCCTTTTTTGTTAACAATTCGAGGGCACATATGGTATGAATTTGCCTTAAAGAGGCACAGCAGTGGAGTTAGGTCCAAAACTTCAGCTTGTGGGTTTTCTAATAGATGTAGTCCAATGGATTTTTTTGTAAATCTAAAAATGTGAAAAAATTGCCATCAAACATGGTTCATTCATACTTTATTAGCACTTTAAAATAAAATGCCAAGCAATGTACTCAGTCACTCTTTACTGGTGTTCCAACATTTCAGAAAGAAATGCTTTTACGTAAGTGTTGTTAATCCTCTATGACAGGGGCCCTCAAACTTTTTGAACAGAGGGCCAGGTCACAGTCTATCAAACTGTTGGAGGGCCGGATTACACTGCACATATCTTATTGTAATAATAATAATAATAATAATAATAATAATAATAATAATAACTTTATTTGTACTCCGCTACCATCTCCCCAAGGGACTCAGCATGGCTTACATTAGGCCAAACCCACAATACATCAGTAAAAACAACAACAGCAATACAAAACAATAAAATGAAACTCATAAACAAAACACAAGCAGTAAACATTAACAGTAGCACAACAACGTTTAGAAACCTATGGCTGGGCCAAATGTAATATTAATTTTTTTAAAAAATAATGCTGAATATGACCAGGTGAAATATATAATTAGGATAGAATTTCGGAGTGGAAAGGGGTGTGCAGACAATCCTAGATCATTATTATTGTAGTGTAAAAACACTTAAAAACAATACAATAATTAAAATGAAGAACAGTTTTAACAAACATAAACTTAGTATCTCAATGGGAAGAGTGGGCTTGCTTTTGGCTGATGAGATAGGATTTTTGTTGTTGTGCACTTTCAAGTCATTTCAGACTTAGGTTGACCCTGAGCGAGGGCCGGGTAAATGAACTTGGAGGGCCGTATTCGGCCCCCGGGCCTTAGTTTGAGGACCTCTGCTCTATGATATAGATTGTTTATACTATTTATATTGCATTAACGTATTGCTCAAAAATAGACTGTGAAGTAAACAATAAATATCAAATCAAGGCACATCATACACGAATGCTGGAAAACCACAAGCTTCATCTCACTGTAAAGCTCTGATCATAACAATATAGTTTCTGAAATTATGTGTGTGCATGCATGCATGCATTTTAACCAAAATGGTAAAGTCTTTATTCAAAATCATAGACCAATGGGGAGTTCACAACAGCAACGAGACCTGGTGATCTGGCAGTTGTTCAAAGCATGATGCCCTCGGGCTCTAAGAGGAGGTATTTGTGCAGTGGTTTAGGCACAGGAAGCAAAGGGATGAGATAATGGCACTTACTGCCAAACCTCCTCCTGATTTCACAACGGCACAAATGTTGGAGACGCTGCACTCTGTTCGTTTGGGTAAAGAAGGACTCGTAGAAAGCTAGGTGCCTCTGGAAAAAAAGAAAACCAGTCTGTGAAGTCTGTTAGCAGTCAATACATTTCTAAATATTTGCTAATCCTAGTGCACTCATATATTTTTCAAATATATCAAAATTTACTTCTTGATCTCAGCCAAAACTTGCAAACCTGGGGTAGAATACAGTTTTTTTGGTCGTGTCAGGAGCAACTTGAGAAACTGCAAGTGAAATGTGTGTCACAAATTATAAATTATGACTGCTATATTGTAAGGATTCATATCCTAAAATTGTTTTGATACCCATAGTAGTAATAACACCATGTAACTTAACATGTCAGAAATGAGAACAACGCTCACACAATTACACTGTCCATCTTTTACAAACAAACAAAACAAAAACAAAAAAAGGAATACCAGTACTGTCATTTAACCCTTTGTAAGTCAAAATGCCCACTCTAGGAATCTGTACAATTTTCTTTATCTACTTTTATTATAATCCTTCTTTATTATGCTATAATGTTGTTGCTGTTATTATTATTATTATTATTATTATTATTATTATTATTATTATTTAAGGCCCACTGTTTCGCTCTAAAATGGCTTATAGTAAAGCCATAACAATACATTTTAAAACCTAAAAATATACAAACTAGCTTTTCTTCTGCTAGTAGCCATTCTGAAACAGAAAAGACTACATCAATATTTATTTATTATTTTATCCTATTTATACCCTTCCTTTCTCTAGCCCGAAGGGGACTCAAGGTGGCTTACATATAGTCAACTATTCAATGCCTTAAACAAAATAAAATTAAAATAAACATTTGAATTAAACATTTAAATTAATATATATCAAAACATTTAAACATTATAATCACTATTAAAATCATGCCAATTGTGATCCAGGGCCATTCCAGAATTCATTGCACATATTCCATATCTGTTATTGCACTATAATTATTCTCCGATGGCATGATCCCAAAGCCACGTTTTCATGTTCCTTCTGAAGGCCAGAAGGGAGGGGACTGATCGAATGCCACTGGGGAGCGAGTTCCACAGCCCAGGGACCACCACTGAGAAGGCCCCATCTCTTGTCCCCAACAGTCGCGCCTGCAAAGGAGGCGGGACCGAGACAAGGCCTCCCCAGATGATCTTAATCTCCGAGATGGTTTATAGGGGGAGATACGTTCAGACAGGTAAACTGGGCTGGAACCATTTAGGGAAGACGGTATTTGGGCTTCGTTTCCATGTGCTTCAAAAACAGCACTCCATGGAGTGCCCTTATGTCATATGATGGCTTTCATGGGACTTCTGTGGGCAGGCATGTAGCTGGAGGGGGGGGGGCTTGAGGAGCTTCAGCCCCCCCCCCAAACTCTCATGGTGGTTCGCGAAGAGGCCTTACTGGTGTATTTAAACTGTTATGTTCAAGTAAAAACGCTGCCAGTTCTAGAATTTTTAGAATCCAGTTTTCTATTGAGGATTATTCTTTTTTTCTATTTGAGCACATCTATACACATAATAAAAGTGAAAATCTGTATGTGGCACAGGTGTCTGTTCACACAGACAACCTCCAGCCTCCACAAATAGGCTATTGTTTCCAGTGCTGAGAAGACAGCAAGTCACTCTCTCGAAGGACATTGCAGGTTATAGCAAGCACATCCCAGTGTTCCTTTCTCTCTTCATTTGCATGACCCCACCCACTGCTTCTCCCTTTCCAACCCCTACCCACTGCTTCTCCCTTATCCCATCCCAACCCTTTCCTTTGGCACACAGCAGAGGAATTGATCAGCAACTAAACATACTGGAGAGGTTTGGAGAGAATTCACCATGATTTATAGGAGTTGTAGGGACTGGGATGCATAGTTCGCCTGCAATCTAAGAGCACTCTGAACTGCACCAATGATGGACCTGGAACTCACTTGGCACACAGACCCACCATGTGCAATTGACCATACTTGCAAAGTTTAGGGGTGATTACCCTGAGAGTTGTAGTTCACCCTTATCTAGAGAACAGTGAACTCAGCCAACGATGGATTGGGACCAAGCTTGGCACACAGAGCCAACATGGCCAATTGTGCATACTGGCTGAGCTTGGGGGTGATTGCCCTGGGAATCTGGGAGTTGTAGTTCACCCCTACCTAGAGAACAGTGAACTCAGCCAACGATGGATCGGGACCAAACTTGGCACACAGAACCAACATGGCCAATTGTGCATACTGGCTGCTTGGGGGTAATTGCCCTGGGAATCTGGGAGTTGTCGTTCACTCTTACCTAGATATCACTGAACCCAGCTGCTGTTGGATCTGGACCAAACTTGGCACACAGATCCAGCATGGCCAACTTTAAGTAATGGCAGGGTTTGGGAATGACTGACCTACGATTCTGGAAATTGTAGTTCACCCACATCCTTATGCATTTTCTAATGGGAGCATTCATTAAAAAACAAAAAGAAAGACTGTTTTTTCTAATAAATAGCATTACACATTACCAAACTGATATTACCAAACTTCACAAAACAAACAATGCCTTCTCAAATAACCCGGGCAGCGCCGGGTCCCCAAGCTAGTACTCAATATATCCCATTTGCATGGGGGTATTGGGGTAACGATACATAAGGTTTGCTAGGGTAGACCCTCTTTCACTCAGACTCAGCCACCCCCCCCCCGAAACAAACTCAGTCCTCCCCCCCGAATCGAAATCCTGGCTACGGGCCTGTCTGTGGGGCTTCGTTCCAAAGCACATGGAACTGGAGCCTGAAAATAGCCTAATGTGGTCCTTTAGTGGAACTCTCTCCCAATATAAGTTAGGTAGGGAGTTGTACCTGACTTCTGCCTTTCCTTGAGTAAGTTTACTTGTTTCAGAAGTATTTTCTACATCTTAGAAGGTTTTTAAAAAGAAATATAAGGGATTAAGTGATATTGATGCATAATAAAAGCAAGAACAATTTATCAAGATTGTTGAACAAGTAAAACAAGTCATCAAGTAAAACGTTGTGTTAGCCCTATGACATCAATATGCCAATAAAGACATGGAATGGAAACCTCTCTGACAAGATCCTCCAAAATATCTGATCTGGAAATTGATCTTTAAAGAGATTTTGAAAGGAATCTATGGAAGGAAGGAGAAGAGGCATGTTTTATGAATAAAGGCCCATTTATGTAATGCTAGATGTAGCTCACAGGATTGTTCTTGGTGTGAGTTAAGCCTGGGAAAGGACACTAAGGTTGTCTCCTTCTAAGCAAAGCTTTTGCTTTGCACCCTTTTTTTTTTTTTTTAGCTCCAACTAATTTTAGGTAGCATTTGATGAGAAATGTCCTCCTGGTCTGAGATTCCTAAAACGTCTTTTCAGTCTAGAAAGGCAGTCATGAGAGAGACAAACCAATGCCCTGAGTCAATATAAAGTAGTCTTACACTTTCAGTCATCATGTCAAATATATGCTGCAACACATATAAATGCACATCTAGCTACATTATGTGTTCTGCAGAACAGACTTTTTTGAAAATAAGCAAATGGGTCCTGCCTTTCTATTAAGAGATACAGATACCACTTGACAGAAAGATGGGACCCATTTGCTTCTTTTTATTTGTTTGTTTGTTTATTTATTTATTTATTTATTTATTATTTAGAGGTTTTCTATACCGGCCTTCTCAACCTCGACGAGGGACTCAGGTCGGTTTACAGCATATATAAAGTACAATCATATAAAAGAACAACAAGTGCAAATCATTACATATTAAAATAGTACAACACAGTACAATAAAAACATCATCATTACATCATTACAGTTTCCTACGCCAAATCGTCAATCCAGTCAAAGTCATAGTCATGCTCGTAGTCACAGTTCATCATAATTCATCACAGGGAAAGGTTCTAGGTTCAGTCCCCGAATGCCACATTCCAGAGCCAGGTTTTTAGTGATTTCCTGAATGTCAGGAGGGAGGGGGCAGATCTAACCTCTAGTGGGAGGGAGTTCCAAAGCCGGGGAGCCACCACCGAGAAGGCCCTGTCTCTCGTCCCCACCAACCGTGATTGCGAGGGTGGTGGGACCGAGAGCAGCCCCCCCCCCGGAAGATCTTAATAGCCTTGATGGTTCATAGGGGAGAATCCGTTCGGACAGGTAAACTGGGCCAGAGCCGTTTAGGGCTTTATGGGTCAAAACCAGCACTTTGAATTGTGCCCGGAAGCTGATCGGCAGCCAGTGGAGCTGGCGTAACAGAGGGGTCATATGGTCTCTGTACCCTGCCCCTGTTAGCAATCTGGCTGCCGCACGTTGGACTGATTGAAGCTTCCAGGCAGTCTTCAGAGGCAACCCCACGTAGAGAGCGTTGCAGTAGTCTAAACGGGATGTAACCAGAGCGTGGACTACCGTGGCCAAGTCAGACTTCCCAAGGTATGGGCGCAGTTGGCGCACAAGTTTCTTTTTCAGGAAACTGCTGTAATGTAGGGCTGCAGGAGCTCCTGGGGAGAGCAGAGTGTTGCTCCCCAGCCAGAATTCACCTTGCACTCAACACCAACCAGGAATCCAGAAGCAGTAGTAAAACAGTTTATTGAGAAAAGCACATATAACAAGGAAAAATCATGATAGGAAATAAGAAAGGCAAAATCCAATAGGTAGTGAGGAAAAGCAGCCAGCAGGTAATAAACCAAACCAAACTGGCAATGAGAAAAACATTCCAAAGGCAATAATCCAAACAGTCCAAATCTGTTCCATGAAACAAGACACAGGAAAAACCAGATTCAAAGCATGAACATAAATCCAGGAAAACAAGAATGAAACCATGAGCATGAATCCAAAACCAACTGTCAGAACTTCTTAAAAACATGAATTCAAACTCCCAAGATCTTACACTAAAACATGAACATGAAACAAGACTCAAGATCCTCACGTGGCCTCATCTGAATTTTAAAGGTCCTTAAATTCTCTGATTTAAGGACCACAAACTATGAAGTTATGTCTGTGACCTTGACTCCCTTGCCTGTGAGATTTCTTACTGTTGTTTCCCACAGAGTTTCTGTGACCTCCTTAATGTGCTGCTTCTTCCCTAAGATGAAGTCTGAGATTTTTGTTGACTACAGGTGTATTTTCAGATGAACTTTCTCACCTATCCAACTGCTTATCTGGGGTTTCTATGAGATGATTAGGTGAAAAGTCTTCTCCTGCTGCTGCATCTCCCTGTCTTGTGGTTTCTGAGGCAGTTTCACTTTCAAGCCCATTCTCACAGACTCCCCTCATTTTCCTCATTGAAACCCTGCCCCCACTCTCTCATACTCTGGAATAACATTCCCCTCATCTTCATCAGCTGGCTGAACCACAACACAGATCTCCCTGCATTGCATTTTAAAAATAATATTTTCCTTGTGTTGTCCGTGCAAGAAATTCTTAGTAAGAATGGCTTTTCATGGCATACATTCTCCAGATACCTTTGCCTGACAACAAGAATGCTAATTTTTCAACACCAGACAACCCACACCCCATCACTTCACCCAATGTCTGGAATTCCTATGATTTAATGTATTGTTCTTTAAAAATGTCATATTACCTGAAAATCTTCCTTTGGAATAACATCTACCCATTTTTCAGAGATTGGCAGCTGATGGTAGGAATTATAAAGGATTTCAATGATTTCTGGCACAGAGGCACAAGATTTCAGTACCTGGAGAAGCAGAGAAATCACTTTATCAGGATGCCTATAGAAATCACACAATTATCTCAAAATACCCTTTACATCTGCCTCACACAGTTGGAAAGTACAAACTTCTTCAAGCCTCTTCTAGTAATTGGTTTATCTATAATCCTGCTGCTTACTTATTGTGTGTATATTCTGTTATGCAGCTTTCTTTCCTTGCTCTATGTTTTCTCCAAGAAGTTGTGGGAGGTGCTGCAGACCACAAGATTTGCTCAGGGATGAGTACAGAGCACAGATTTCTTTAGACTTTGGGACTGCTTAGATTGCAGACTTGAAAACACTTGCCTGCTGTTTTGTTATAAGAGAGATGTTCTGATAGGATGGCACAGAAACTATCTCAAACGTATCTGTAACGGACTGATAAGTTGTGTATGCTGAACACATGAAGGCTGTGAGTAAGCCAAATATGTTATTTTACCAAAGTCTACTTTATTTTGTCTTTTGAGTGCAAAATATAAAACAAATTGTTTTATGGGAGAGTAGATATATTTTTGTGCACTGAAAAATACTTCTGAGGAACTGCTATTTTTATGCACTGGCATGTTCTCTGTTTCCTGGCAGATCAGAGACAACAGGTCATTCAGTCTAACAACTGAAGCCAATTGCCTTGCATAATTACATTATGTTGTATACCACTTGAGGAAATTCTACTAAAATGGGTTTTTGGCTTTTCTCTAAAAGATTATGATCTCTAAAAGGTCCTGCTTTTCTAAAACACACAGCACAGCATTAGTGGAATTCTAATCTAGGCAGTCTCTACTATTTGGCAAAAACCATGCTTGTCAGGTGTTAGAAAGTTGTTGTTCTTGAGGTTCCAATATGGCAACAAGCCGACAGTAGCTGGCTTCTGTTCTGCAGCCATTTGTGCGAATTATGTGTATTCCTGAAAAAGAAAATTCATCTAGCTTACATAAATAAAGCCAGGAGAAGTACAAAATATCTTGTGAGTTTCAAAACAGTGGGAACTGTCTGTGGGAGGCTGTACATCTATGCAGCCCTTTGGATGTCCGCTGCTGAAGAGAAGAGAAGGTGAAAAAGGCACACATGTAATCTCCAGCCTAACTGTTGACGGATCGAACAAGACCCCTCTTCCCGAAAGCCCTGAAAGACCCTTGACAGATCCTTGCAGAATTATGGTTTTTAATGAAGAAGGAGGAGAAGAAAAGGGGGTAGAAAATGAAATGAAGCAAGAAAGTAAGATCAAATATTTGGAAATCCTAAAACAAATGGAAGTTATAAATGCAGTGCTTATGATTGCTGACAACAAACTTAAACAAATAAACATCAAACTGAATTGGATAGCCCTGACCTCTAAAGAACAAGAGACACACAGAAAAGATAGCAAAAATGTCAACATCTAGTCTAAACAAACAACTTCAACTTGAGAAAGGCTGAGTTGGTCAAAGAAGAGGAAGAGAGGAAATATGAAAAAAGAAGCTAGTTAAGCCCGGTAAAAAGAAGGCGGGTGGATGAAGAGGAAAAATGAGGATTAAGAAGAAGCAGGTTATGATCCAGAAACAAGTAACGTGGATGAAACAACGAGGATGTCAAATATTGGGAGTGAATGCTGTTCTGGTACGGCTGTACCAGGACCTCCACATTTATTTGCTTTGTATTAAATGTTTGTTTGCAGTCCTAGGTTTCAGGGACTCTGCAGATAGGTGGCTTCCTTTGGTTGCAGTCATAGGGCAAGTCACCTGTCCATCATCGTTAAGTTTAGTCCCGCCCCTTGCTCAGGGCAATTGGGAAGGGAAGGAAGCCATTTTTAGTTAGTCTCAGCAAGGAAAGCTAATGTACATGTGCAAGCTTCCCCTGTACAAAAGCTTCTACCCTTAAGACTTTCTGGGGGAAAACAGTTTTAAGACCATCAAGACTTTCCAGGGGAGATCAGTATTAAGAGTCTCCAAAGATTTCCAGGGAAACAGCCCTAAAGACCAAGGAACTCCAGCTGTAGGTCCACTCGGCGTTCGAGAAGCAGTTTTACCTGGTAGTGGAGCCCACATCAGTAAGGTTTAGATTACAGTCAGCCTGGGAGAAGTTAAAAAGGGGATTTTCCTTTAAAGTAAAGAAGAAGTTATTGAAGACAGTTGCCTGTCCTTCGTGGGCAAGTTTAGGAAGCTACCAGTTGCATAAAAGCCTGGAATCATTTGCTTAACTTTACTGAAGACAAGAGAAGTTTCTGTTTGATTGTTCATTAATAAAAGGCTTTGTTTTACTTCACAAGCCATCTAAAGACTATTTGTGGTGGAAAACCTCTGAGAACTTCTCTTTGGGCCCCCTGGCTTCCCGCTGGGCAAAGGTTGCACATCCTGTTTTAAAGACAACTCTTTACAGGCCCATTACACGACTCCTAGCTGCCACATTGTTGTGTTCGCCAGATTTTATTCAAATTCTGGGCCCAATTACCTGGACTGTCTTCATGCCCATTTCTTCAGATGATCTCATAGTTTTGACAGGCCTCTCAGTCACTTCCAACCGCTCCCTTGTGACATCACAATGCCCAACCATTTAGCTGCCGACCCTGAAATCTTAGGATGTGGGAGGCTACTAACCTGGCAGGGCTATGGTTATAATGAGCCTAAAGGTAGCTAGATCTGCTACAAGACCTCAAGATGATGATGCCTTGTACCTGAAAGACTTTAAGTTGCAATGCAGATTTTCAAAGCAGAGCACAACAGAACATAAAGACTTTACTTTCCTATAATCATAAAGTACCTTGACAAAAGCTGCAGGCCATATTTTCTGAGATCCATAGTTTAGCAAGGTTTGTACTGTGAGATGTGGCTTCAGTTCTTGTTTAAAAGCTGCTGCCTGCAGGACACAGGACATGGGATATGCCCCATTGTAATCTATAGCATTGACATCAGCTCCTCTCTGCAGAAGGAGCTGGACCAAGCTGTGATTTGCGTTCCTGCAGGCCTTGTGAAGGGGGGTCTTTTTTTCTTCATCCACGGTGTTCACATCTGCTTCATACACCAGCAGCAGTTTGCATACTTGCAAGTATCTCTCTTGGTCCTCCACAGTCTTGGCTTCCCTGCAAGCTACACTGAGCGCTGTCTCTTCCATGTTGTTCTTCTCATTCACAGTGGCTCCATACCTCAAATACAGCTGCAGGTGGTCATAAAGGCCATGTTTGGCTGCAATGTGAAGAGGACTTTCTTGGGTTTCTTCACTTGGCAGGTTCACCAGGGCACCAAATCTCACCAAAGCTTTGGCACACCTACAAAGCAGAAAGACTATTATATATTGCCTCCAAGGAAATGGGACAAATATCTATGTTTATCTATGTTTAGTCATTCCGAATTGTCATTCTACATGTTCCTTAATTATTCTTTGTACTGCATTATTTATTAGCCAAAGGTTTGATACCACAACCATGTCTTTGTTTTCTTATGGCAGTGTTTCTCAACCTTCCTAATGCTGCGACCCCTTAATACAGTTCCTCATGTTGTGTTGACCCCCAACCATAAAATTATTTTTGTTGCTGCTTCACAACTGTAATGTTGCTACTGTTATGAATCGTCATATAAATATCTCATATGCAGGATGTATTTTATACAAATATGCGATATGCCCAAATTTGAATACTGGTGGGGTTGGGGGAGGGGGGATAATTGATTTTGTCATTTGGGAGTTGTAGTTGCTGGGATTTAAAGTACACCTACAATCAAAGAGCATTCTGAACTCCACCAATGAGGGAATTGAACCAAACTTGGCACACAGAACTCCCATGACTAACAGAAAATACTGGAAGGTTTTGGTGGGCATTGACCTTGAGTTTTGGAGTTGTAGTTCACCTACATCCAGAGAGCACTGTGGACTCAAGCAATGATGGATCTGGAATAAACTTGGCACAGATACTCAATATGCTCACATGTGAACACTAGTGGAGTTTGCGGGGAAAGAGGCCTTGACATTTGGGAGCTGTAGTTGCTGGGATTTATAGTTCACCCCCTTGAATCCCACCAATGATAGAATTGGGCCAAACTTCCCACATAGAACCCCCATGATCAACAGAAAATACTGCAGGGATTTAGGAGGAATTGACAGTGATTTAGGGGAGATGTAGTTCACCTAACCCTGGAGAGCACTGTGTTCCTAAGACCATCAGAAAGATGTGTTTTCTGATGGTCTTTGGTGACCCCTCTGACACCTTCTCGCGACCCCCTCAGGGGTCCCGACCCCCAGGTTGAGAAACGCTGTCTTATGGCATCCTCAAGCCAAACCTGTCATGGAGCTGGGAGTTCATAATTTACCCAGGTCATCCAGAGTAAATTATGCTTAAGAGGGAATTGATGTCCATTCTCCAGAGTATAGTCCAACACTCAAAATGCATTCTATGGTTTGCATCAAGTTCTGCAAGCAGAAGGGCTTCATTCCCAAATTAGGGAATTATTTAATCAATAGAATAGAGTCAATTACTCTACTGACAGAAATATTTTTAACCCAACAAGATTTCTCTCAACAGAATAAGGAGGAAGGGCATTCTGGAAAATCCACAGCCCCTTCTTCTCAAACCTGTTCAAGAAGGCGAGGAGACCTTTTGGAATGGCCAGGAAGGGGGCACAGTTTTAAAATCTGCCTTGCTCAATCTTTAGGGGAGATGTATTTTATATTGTGACTTTATTATTTATTTTGTGTTTTAGCTGTGTTTACATGTGTTGCTCAAATAATTTTGGTTACAGGGAAAACACAAATACAGTAGAACCCCTGTATCTATGCAGAGGTGGCCCTAGGTAATTTTCAACGGTAAGCAAACAGTATTTTGGTGCCCCCCCCCCAACCAATCACTGATATATATTTTCTGTTCGTCGTGGGAGTTCTGTGTGCCATATTTGGTTCAATTCCATCATTGGTGGAGTTCAGAATGCTCTTTGATTGTAGGTGAACTATACATCCCAGTAACTAGAACTTGCATATGTCAAGGTCTATTTTCCCCCAAGAGCACCTCAAGAGTGCCCCTGGGCAAAATCAACTATACTGCAAATACTTACTTTGTGTAATGGGTTGAGCTGCCCCTGTATCTATGACAGATATGTTCCAATACCCACTGTGGATACCTGAAACTCCATGTTTCAACTATACTTGGGTTGGAAGCAAACTGTAGAATTCCAATGGAGAATAAGAGATGGCCTCAAACACTCCTATGGGGTATTTTTTTTATCATGCATAGCTGAAATGGTGACTATTGAATCTGTGGATATGGGGGCTGTATTTTACCATAAAGAGATTCTATCTATTTATTGGATGATGGACAGCATTATCTTTTGGGAAATTGGTGCAAACATAGCAGATTGTGAAATGAACAAGATTATTTGGCAAGCTTTACTACCAAAGGCTGTTGAATCTCATAGGGTGATTCCAGGTAGGACTTTAATTAGGTTCTTGTGGGTTTTTTCGGGCTATAGAGCCATGTTCTAGAGGCATTTCTCCTGACGTTTCGCCTGCATCTATGGCAAGCATCCTCAGAGGTAGTGAGGTCTGTTGGAATTAGGACAATGGGTTTATATATCTGTGGAATGGCTGGGGTGGGGCAAAGAGCTCTTCTCTGCTGGAGCTAGGTGTGAATGTTTCAACTGACCACCTTCATTAGCATTTGAAGGCCTGGCTGAGCCTGGGAAATCTCTTGCTGAGAGGTGTTAAGATGTGCCTGGTTGTTTCCTCTCTGTTGTTTTGCTGTTGTAATTTTAGAGTTTTTTTAATACTGGTAGCCAGATTTTGTTCATTTCCATGGTTTTCTCCTTTCTGTTGAAATTGTCCCCATGCTTGTGGATTTCAATGGCTTCTCTGTGTATTCTGACATGGTAGTTGTTAGAGTGGTCAAGCATTTCTGTGTTCTCAAAAAATATGCTGTGTCCAGGTTGGTTCATCAGGTGCTCTGCTATGGCTGACTTCTCTGGTTGAAGTAGTCTGCAGTGCCTTTTATGTTCCTTGATTCGTGTTTGGGCAATGCTGCGTTTGGTGGTCCCTATGTAGACTTGTCCACAGCTGCATGGAATCTACACAGAGAAGCCATTGAAATCCACAAAGCATGTGGACAATTTCAACAGAAAGGAAGAGACCATGAAAATGAACAAAATCTGGCTACCAGTATTAAAAAACTCTAAAATTACAACAGCAAAACAACAGGAGGAAACAACCAGGCACATCTTAACACCTCTCAGCAAGAGATTTTCCCAGGCTCAGCCAGGCCTTCAAATGCTAATGAAGGTGGTCAGTTGAAACATTCACACCTAGCTCCAGCAGACAAGAGTCCTTTGTCCCACCCTGGTCATTCCACAGATATATAAACCTTTTTCCCTAGTTCCAACAGACCTCACTACCTCTGAGGATGCTTGCCATAGATGCAGGCGAAACGTCAGGAGAAATGCCTCTAGAACATGGCTCTATAGCCCGAAAAAACCCACAAGAACCTAGTGATTCCAGTCATGAAAGCCTTCGACAGGACTTTAATTCATTGGGACCTTTAATTCAATTGGGCCTCATTACAGTCCACACATGCCCCAGAAAACTTGTGCTTTCCTTGGGGTGGGCAATCCAGATAATATTGAGCCATGGTGGTTAATGTAGTCTCAAACTGCATTCGTTCTACAGGGCAGATGCACCCACAGAAAATGTTTATAGGTACTTCTGTTTTTAGTCTTAGTTTTAGCACCAGGTGGGTGTCCATAATTTAAACTTTTCCAATACACACAAAAAGGAGCCCTTTCCCAAGCTTCAATTTTAGCCCAAACAAGTTATGATTCCTAGAACACTGCAACAAACGGACTCCTTTCTGACCCTCCATACATTTGATCAAGGAGTAGTCAGAGCTGTTCTGTACCTTTCTGTACTGTTCTGTCATTGTTACCAGAAGAAATAAATGTTCTGTAACTGCACCAAATGTGACCCGGGATGCTGTGGAACACTGTTAGGGCTGCTACACAGGAGCAAGGAAGCTTTACAAATTAATCACAGGCATTTTCAACTGAGGTGGGAGGGGACTTTCATGTACACTTTATTTTAAATTCAGAAAGAAAAGATGTGGCTAGGTAGAAGCCCCAAACTCACAGCTGCCAACCCTTGCCCTGAAAAGTTTTCTTTTGCTATAGATTTAAAGGATGGGTAGCATTAGTGTGGAAGGCATCTAGACCAGCAATAGAGTATATGCCTGCTGTGAAATGATGGAAAAGTCCTCTCAATGGACAGAACCATTAGCTGAAACCCAAGATATAACAACCAAGTATAATTCATTCCCATGTCTGTAGTAATCCTAAACCAATGGTTGGACCCAATAACGGCCTCATCAAAATGGTGAATCTATGGGGTTCCAGCGGGAGGAGCATGGAGAACCTGTCGCTTGACACCCTTCATTGTGCAACTTACCTGGGACCCCATTACATGGTGGGAAGCATCACCACCCGGCATCCCCCCATTATCCTTGAGGCAACATGGAAAGCATACACCACTTGCTCTTTCCTTTCCTGATGGAGCCCAGCTGGAAGTCCACATGTTGTGTAATGGGCTTCATAGGGAAAGATTACTGCAACGCACTCTACGTGGGGTTGCCTTTGAAGACTGTTCGGAAACTTCAACTAGTCCAACGGGCGGCAGCCAGATTAATCACCGGAGCGTCATACAGGGAGCACACCACTCCTCTGCTACGTCAGCTCCACTGGCTGCCGATCCAGTTCCGAGCACAATTCAAAGTGCTGGTTTTGACCTTTAAAACCCTCTACGGCTCCAGCCCAGTGTACTTGTCCGAACGTATATCCTTCTATGTCCCACCACGGAGTTTAAGATCTTCTGGGGAGGGGAAAGGGGAGAGCAAGATGCATACGACAGGAAAAGTAGCTCATCTGATGAGGTAGTTAGAGCTCAGTTAATGGAGCAGACATAAACCTTCCTTTCCCATGGGTTCTCACTGGGGCTAGCCATTGGATTTAAGGCAGAGTTCCATGTGAGCAACATGGGTTGAGATCACTTTGCCGCAAAGGTGGGCAAATGCTATATATTGCCCTGAGTCCCTCTTCCCAATTCCCAAGGTCATCCCTTTTTCTGGAGTGACAAAAAGGTATCTTCCAGAAGCTCTCAGGCATAGTGATTAATCTTTTAATTCATTGCATGTCTCCTGCAATACTGAAGAAAACACATTTCCCTTTCTTAAAACCATAAATGGATTGGTAGCCATGTTTGGTTTTTGGGTTTACCTCCTTCATTTGAGTATTTGCATTTGTTTAC